GTCGTGTTTCACAGATGCAAGGATGTCGCAAGACATCACTGACCTTTCCTCCATTAGTCCGTTGAACGTTTCTTCACATGCCAGTGTTCTATAGTTATAAGCGCAAATGACGAGGGAAGTCTGAGTCTGTTTACCATAGTGTAGCTTTTCACATACGTTTCTTACCATCCTCTTGCTAGTAGAATACCCAAGCGCCACCATGGAACTGGTCGAGAGACGCGCTGGGTACTAAGGTCCGTTTATTCGTATTGTTATAGCGCATAAGAATTTTCCTTCCACTCGAGTTGCTGACAGTGGCCTGAGGAATTTTCCTCAGGCGAATCCCCCAATTCCGTCAAGATTTTAGCGAAATTTTCTCTTCTAGTCAGTGAGAAACCGACGTCCAACCGCAAGGCGGCGGGGTCATTGGCGACCTATTCTTTAAAGGGGCGGGTTGTTTTCGTGTCGACATGAAGCCGTCATTGGGCACTGAGGCTTTTTTCTGTGGATCCAGTTTGTGGAGCTGAAACCCGGCCACATCCTGGTAGTCCCACCGCTACTTTCCCGTGACTGCTTGCTTTTCGCAGCTGACCTCGATGGGGGTCGTAGCCATTCGCAACCTCTAAATACGCCAGATGGCCGGACGCTAGGCATAAGATCACTGATAGAATTAACTTTGAGTTCAGTGTTCAACGTTTCGATTTGCATAAAACAGATTTCCCAAAAGAATGGGTTCCTCGCTCTGCTGTCAGTTCTGTTCATTAAAAGTCTGTCGTGAATTATGAGGAGGCCTTTTAGGAAAGTCCATGCATCTCATATTGCATAATTTTGTTCAGCTGCAAAACTTCTACATCTTGCAAAGTGACTTTTTATTTCTAGAACATTTTTTCACTCCTTGCGAAAATTTTTAAGGTGATGACAAAATCCGGTATCCTCCTGTAGTGAAATAATGTAATTAAAAACTCTGATTTCTGTGACTCTAATTCCTAAGCCATTAGTCACCTCCATCGAGTAATTGTTTGTTTTGTTTCCTTTCATTCACCGTTAATTAATCAATAAGCATACATGGGATGAATTCGAGTAATTAGCATTTTAGCCGACTCTGACGTCATCCAAGTCCTGAGATAAACAGTGAAGACCACATCGAGCGTATGGCAGCACCGGATATATTTGACTGCAATGCATGAACCCTAAAGATGATAAGTGATCCAGCTGTTTGAAAATTAGCTGACTAGGACATGGACATGTGTATTTAATCAGGCGTAGCAGGATGTGCATTGTGGCGTGCTCAAACCTCGACTGAGCCTCCAAACCGTGTTTTCCTCCTAGCGAACCATAATGAATATGATCATTGGCACCATGGTTAATGTCCCTGCCAATCTTTTTGCCACGGCCGAAAGCCGTAATTCAATGGCATAGCAATCCTAACGTTGACTTAGCTTATCTGGTGATGATAATAAATTTATAAACCCAAACGTATAAATCATATACCTGTGTAATTTATAGAAAGTTTACTTATAAAAACGATGAAAACAAAGTTATTTCTCATAATTCCTTTTCAGACATGTGATCTTATGCGGTTTCCTGTGTGACTGAAAAAATGATGATCAGCAGAGTTAAGTTTTCCTTTCTAATGCTTGTTATTAATAACTTTCGTTTACTTTTAAATGTAGGTTTTAGAGTTCTAAAAATCGGTAAATCCTCGTTGTAAACTGGCAGTCTTTATCTAGAGCCATTCATTAAGGGCGCTAAAATCATGATCAGTTATCTCTTATAATTTGCCTAATGTAAACTTGGGCAAAGTGAATCGTTATATCCACGATTGCGATCTAAATTTAAATTAATACATTGAAAAGCGTATAACAATATGGGAGTATAGATTCTCGTTTACAAATACACTTAAATCTAGGCATAAACTCATAAATTAGGAAATGAAACGTAAAATTGTACAGACTCTCTACGCTAAAGATCTTATTTCATATCACTTTTAAATGATGATGATCCTTATGTATCATCAATTGTTGCGGAAAAGTCATATGGGCATCCAATGGCGCCTCCAACCACAAAATTTGAATATTTGGTCCTCGCTGCATAACTGTGACAACAG